CGTCAGTATTCTTCACATATCTGTCACGGTAGAAAAGCTAAGACCTCCCTCGAAGACCAGTTCATGTTTTTGAATACGATGAATATGACGCTTCTTTTGTAAAATAACCGATTACAAATGAGGGCACGTGAATTACAATTCACCATCCGGGAGTGGTATCGGTTTGCAAAGTTCATTGAACACCAAACGAACTCCCACCCAGGATTGCAGAGTTTCTTCTTTCTCGGGCCATTTGAAGTCTGTTCTGGGGCTCGCTAGTCATCCAAACGGGTAGTAAGGTTCGCACCCCTCCCCCCTAAGGGAACGATGAACGACGAGCACAAGCACGACAGCCGTGGTGATGCTATACTTGCCGGATCAGTCACAAGCTAGCCTCCATAGTCAGAGATAACAAATCAGGGGACTACAGCTATAGAACGGGGAGCGGCTGAGATGTCCAGTTGAAACGTGTGAAAACAATTGATCCCATTAGGCCATCATGTGGTGATCACCCACAGAATTGGATTGTGCCTTCAATCCGCCAACCACTACCGGCACAACAGTTCGTCATTGTAGGAGGAGAACATTCCAGGCTCGAACACACCCATCCATTGGATTGAGTAGATCGCATTTTGGTAGTCGATCGAAGCAACCTTTCGGTTTCTTATCACCATGCGGCAAAGCGTGCCTACTTGCGAATGCCGGAACCATAACTCGTGAACGTCTTTCCAGTCACATGACGTTCGTTACTATGGTTCTGATCAGTCCAGCTACGATAATTCGTAGTACAGTTCGGAATGATACAAATTTCGATTTGTCCCTAAACATTGTTTAGCTCCTTCGTGTCGACACGATTTGTGTCCTATTGTTCGACCGGGGAGGCAGCTATGGTGAAAAGTAAACACAGGCATCGATTAACCTCCAAGATTATGCAACCGCGCCTTGACCACTGTCCTGGATTGGCGATAAACTGGCACTCTATCGGATCCTAAATACACGGATATCAACGGCGAAGTGCAGTGGTAGCGGGAATCGATGACGNGGGGGGGGGGGGGGAGATTACATCATCAGAAAACACGTTATCACTTATACAGTTAGCTTCGGCTTTTTTATTGAACACCTCAGTGTGATGAACAGCAGACGGGGCGAACCCCATAGTCACAAGGACCTGCGGATTGGTGGTGGAAACCGGCAATCTAAGCCCTGGGGCTTGGAGTGACGAACCACCTAAGGCTCCGATAGGTTAGGCGCAGTATTCAACCGGAGGGCTGCTTGCTAAAACGTGGGAACTTTTAGAAAACGCGACTTGCCATAGATAATGCAAGTTGGGAAAAGATTGACTGTTTATAGTTGGTTACACATGCGTGTGCGCGCACACGCGTGCGTTTGCCTGCCGTTCGAATACGGTGTTCGTTATCCTGGCAACCAATGGTCCAAATGGCCGAGTAATAAAATTCACAAAGGACAACAGTTGTTTGCATTTGGGTGAACGGTGTTCGTGTAGGATCGTTCTGACGCAGATGCCGTTGCACTCAAAAAAGGTGCTTTTCAGATCGATTTCATCACGTTACAATCGAGTGACTGGGTTCGCCCAGTTTGGACTTCGTATCGCATCATGTCGCATGATGTGGAGTGCGAAGTCACGCATATAGATTGTAAAGCTTTACAGATTCGTTAAAAATGAATTGTGAAGTGAAAGTTAGCCACGCAGATGCTGGTATCAATCGAAATAGATGGCATCTCATAAGGACGAAACTATACTTGATTGGTTGCAGCTGTAAAAGCCAATAAAAACTGCCGGCATAAAAAAATCACTGAGGACCCAAATTCTCGGAATCGCCCACAGAAGCCAGCAGAGTTGAACAACTTTTTCAGAGGTACGCCTAAGCAAAGGAGAGAAAATATTTTACAAATATGAACACAGAACGGAGTATGCGTTTGAGAAATAAACGATCACTTGGATTTCACTGGGAAATCTGGGGTGATTAAGTATAGCATGTTGACAGTTCTAATCGGTGTTAAATGTTTTTTCCCGCCACTGGAAAAACACAGAGAAACCAACTCAGAGAAAATGACAGGCCCAGATACATACAGAAACCGACCCCCCATTAGATTTCACGATTCTAACCGGTTTTGGAAAAAGTTAGCCATAATCCTAATCAACATGATTGCCTTTTCACGGCGTTTCTAAACTGTTCACCCGTCCACCCACCCAGATTTTTTTAATATCGTATAAAACTGGTGTCACTTACTGTGAACCACGGATTCTGAGGGATCCGGTGAACTGGGAAACACTGCTAACAGGCGGGACTCTCCGGTCTGAGTGAGTTGACTTTCTGTCGTAGTGGTAGTATTAGCAGTAGTAGTAGTGTCCGGGAACGATGAGGCTAAAATATCCGCTATGGAGAATGTGGGTGAAACAGTGGCCGGATTCGAACGCGATACGTTCTCGGCCAGGGAAGAACTATCCACAGTCAAGCATAAATGTTGTGTTACACTCGACTGTCGATGAAACAATTGGGTGGATTCCAATGCCATGACTATGAAAGGGTTTGGACAGCACACATTGTGCGCCGAGAACGCGAGAGAGAGATCGAGTGTAAAAAGCTGCAATTAGTTTCCAGCACTGGTGGTATTGATGCAGGAGGAAGTGGTAGCACCAGTTGTGTTCCACATCCACGTGCCAGTAGCAAGCATGGCTATGACCAGCAGGGGCGCGTGCCGTTTACTTGTGCCATCCTGTCTACCGCCCACTCTTTTGGTTGAGCTTGCTGGCCTGTCTGGCCCGAATCAGGCTTTAAAGTTGATAGACAGGCAGACAAACAAAGGGGACAGTTCATTGGTTGTTTGTTTACCTACACTGTGATTGGTTGAAAGTGATCACAAGTGCGTTCGTGCACAAATGCATACATTCAAATCCACGCTCGCGCGTGCGTGCGTACGTACGTGCGTGATTGAAGTGGGTGAATGTGTGTCTGGGTGAATATTTTAATATCGGGTGATAATGCTGCGTGTGCACACCTTCAGTGCCTTTAGGTTGCGACTTTCACGCACCCGCGCGTGCGCACGCATTGTGTGCAAACGCATCCGAAGCGAAACTTTCCGCTTTCTAAAGAAGGGCCATCCACAGCCACGCATCCGGGCACGCTGAATGAACAATCGAAACGGCATGGCCTGGACGACAAAGCAACTAATGCCTGTGGAACTACATCACAAGGGCCGCATTGATGTCAGGTGTTGACACTTTCAAAACTTCTAAGCCCCTGAGCAGATCAATCCAAATTTGGAGTAAATTCAATTGAATCAAGATCCAATCAGTTCGGTCAAGACTTGGTCCTCACAGCTAGCCGAGATTTTTTTACTGTGGTGAATGGTCACCAGGGGTTTTATTAAGCGCGTAGAGCAGTTGGGAAAGTCGCCATCCGGACAAGTTTATTATTATTATTATTATTATTATTATTATTATTATTATTATTAACACCAATCTTTACAGATGCGGCGCCAAAGATAACCATGGGTGAACGAAAAAATATGGGCAAAAAAGGAGGAAAATAAAACAGTCAACTTCGAGGAGTAACAATATTTTTTTGTTTGTTCACTGCTCGCCATTTTGAGTTTTTTTCGTTTTTGTTTATTTTTTGGTATTTTAGACACGAGGTGATGCATTCGCGCCACTGACTTCGCTTCGATGCCATATCCCGCAGTGTCTCCAACCAAAGATGATCTGAATCTTTGGGGCCCCAGCTGGGGAGCCGAGAAACCCCAATGGAAGCCAGATCCGAGCACAATCGTGCCCTAGCCACCTAAGACGATGGTGTGAAATTATTTTGCCCAAAGAAAGACTGTCTGGTCCTAGCACCTGTCGTCTGACCTCATCGTTATTCACGCGATGCTCCTACCATACGCGGGCGATGTTACGCAGACAACGGTTGTCGAAGACTGATAGCAGCTGGACTTGATCTGCTCGGAGAAGCTCGGTCTCGCAGCCATAGATCAACGCGGTGCGTACCGTTACGCAATACACACGCCCTTTCAATGAAAGGGATATATCGCACCAGAGATGCCGCAGATTAGCAAACGCCAATCTAGCTTTGATCACGCGTTGAGAGAGCTCCTCGCCCACACCTTCGCCTACCGTTATGCAACTCCCAAGGTAGGCAAGACTTTCGATTACTTCCAGAGATTCATTGTCCAATGCAAGTGCAGGAATGGGTTCCTGCCAATCTTCCAAAAACACTTTGCACTTTGAAGGTGCAAATGACACACCATTGCGAGTAACCTCAATTGCCAAGCGGTTCAACGACTCTTGAATCGTTGATGCGTTGCCACCCACTTAGGCAATAGCATCGGCGTGCTTTATCCGGACAAGTTTTATCACGCTCCGTTCACTTGGTGAACACCGTCAGTTTTTTTTATCGTGTCTGGGTCCATGGTGGATTTTGACCTCCAAGATAACTGAAACAAACGAATCACTGGCAACATTTGATCATTTGAAACCTGATCACAGAAACTGAAATATGTTGTGGTTTTTCATAAATATGCTCCTCAAAAATCCTAAATTGAACTCATTTCCCTTTTAACCAAAAGGGTTGGAATTTTCCATATCACCAAACCACACAATTTACAAATCAACCTGGAAGGGTGTCAGATCAAGATATCTCGTCTTCCTTTCTCGTTGTCTCACTATCATATTCAGTGGTCCTAGCATCATTTTAAGTTGTCTTCCTGTGGAATCCTGATTTCCATATAATACATTGACTCACAGATACTGACCACTGCTCATTGCAAACAGAACTGACACATTTTCGTTCCCATTTTTCCACATGCTCTGAATTCCACCAAATTTCATCTCGAAAAGCACCTATTTCACTCTTTCCTGCGCGTTTACCACCAAACAAAGAGAGAGAGTAACACATTCGTCTGGACTATGGAATGTCTCTGTGTCTGAAAGCGCTTTCCCCGGCTGAATATGTTTTCTGTGACGGTTAGTGTGTGCGTGTGTGTGTGTGTGTGTGTGTGTAATATGAGCTTTAGTACATGCAAACGTTATGCACAATGCAATACAATTTGAGCCTCTAAGCAATTTCGACAGGTAGCATAAAGATCTCTCGTTCTCGCGGATCGGACGATGTCAGCCCCAAACCCATGATGCAAAAATGTCGTNTAATGGGACCCACTAAACTGCCCCTTGCCACGCCATCGATCTGTTTGTATGTAATCCCTTCAAACTCAAAACGAATGTTTTCTGTACATATAAGAATAAGTTCTCTTAAGTATTCAAGAGGAACATTAGGTTGAAAATTGTTTGAAGAAAAATGATCGCATAAAAAATCAACTGTTTCATGAAGTAGTACATTAGTAAAATGTGAATCCACATCAATCGAATACAATCTCTGTTGGTATATTGTAATATTATCCAAAATATTGGAGAAATGAGAAGCAGATGTTTTCTAGGCATGATTGAGAGAAAGCTAAATGATAACATTTTATAAGTCCACTCTGTACAAACGTTACGCG